CTCCTCCTCCTCCTCCTCCTCCTCCTCCTCTTCCTCCTCCTCCTCCTCCCATGGACAATGTCACCTAGTTGGGTCTGCAAGAAAACCACCCAGCTCAGAGAGCACCAAGGAGCCCCCCGTCCAACCCTGAGCTTACAAGCATCCCCTTCCATTGCCAGGGACAGGAATGTTCTGGGATGTAAATATTTGGACTCCCCGAGTCCTGTTAAAGCCGTTGCACCACAAAGGGTTTGCAGGGAGGCTCGAAAGTGAATAACGTGCAGAAATACACATCTGGGGGAGAGTTGGGTTAGGACTTAACAACATCTGTATGCATTTCAGCTGCCAAAGGGAGTAGAAGATGAAGCCTGCTCATCTCTTGGCCTTTGCAGTTTTTGTGGTCCTCTGCAGAAGCATGAAGCTGGTATCCAAGAGAAATTCAGGTAAGTGAATTCAGACGTTTATTTCCAATAATCTTTGGAAACGATTGGATTCTTTTGGAGGATGAGTGGCTTCTGTTTGGTTGGTTCTATTGAGTGGTGCAATTTAGTGAAGGTTGAAATCTTGTGACTTGGGATAAGTTCCGTAGCGTCGGTGGTTTCAGGCCTGAGATCAAAAGAAGCCAGTTGTTCTATAGAGATAGTCCTTGAGTTATAGCCATATGTTTTCTGACCGTTCCGAGTTACACTAGAACTAAAGAAAAGGAACTTATGGTTGTTCCTCACACTTATGACTATCACAACATCTCCAAGCTCCTGCGATCAAAATTTGGACGCTTGGCAATAGACATGGAAGGAGATTCCTGGGATCACTTGATCCCCATTTGCAACCTTCCAGATGGCTTCTGACAAGCCAAATCAGCTGATTTGGGAAGCTGATTTCAATGAATAATCATGTGATTCACTGAACTGCACTGATTTGCTTAAAAACATGGCAAAAAAATGTTGTAGAATCGGGTCTGACTCACTGATCAACCTCTTTGCTTTGCGATGGAAATTCTGAATTCCAACAGTAATGATCATACACCAAGGATTACCTTTACTATGAAAGAATGTTCTGTGTTCCGTATTCTATGCATTCTATTCTACATATTCGGTGTATTATGTGTTCGGTGCATTCATGATTCTTCGTGGTATTGGTATGTTAATTGAAACTGACGTTAGGATTAATCTAACGAGAGGTTCCTTGCTTTTTATTTTCCACTGTTACCTTCTGCCCCCCTTGTTTTAAAATCCAAAAGTAAGTGCAATCTTTAGAAAGCATGTCCTTTTCAAAAGAGGGCTTCAGGTTTTTTTAAACTTTATAAGAAATTATACCATAATGGGCTTTTACTTTGTACAATATCCTTGAAGATTTAAAGGTCTCGGCAATGAATTGATATGCTTTGTCCAGGGAGATATTTAAGTGCAGAATTCCACACGGTTATCTGGGTTTTGTTCCAATCCTAGGTTGGTTGATTTGCGAGCAGCAGAAAAGGTATAAATTGCAAGGAAAATATTACATGCAAACAGTTAGTAATTCTAAATGTTTGTACCTCCACCGAAGAACTCGCCGTTTTGCTTCTTGGCTTAAGGGCCATTTTGTGTTGCTTTCTTGAATACTTCTAGAAAACGGATCTCAGTCTTTTTGCCAATATATCTGACTGTTTTGGGAAGTCGTCGGACATAAAAGGGAAACAATTCAGTCCAGATTATCATCAAATCGTAATAAGCGAGCTGTGTTTCCTAGCAGTTGGTGGCGTTTCCATTCTATACAGATAGGAACTTCAGCGATTGCTACTCCTTCTACCCAGACCAAATGTCCATTCAGCCAGCGCCACCAAAACATAAACCGTGGTTAGGGGGCACGAAATGTACTGCAGAGAAGAGAAAGCCACGGAGATCGTCCAGGGCCCAGAATAACGCAGGCAATTTCAAATGTTTCGGAAGTGTGTCCGTAAAGAATAAAGCCAGAGGTAGGTCTGAGACCATGAATCTGAATGAGCAATTGAAGCAAGGCTGATGAGGCAGGGCTGGGAAGGGGGATACCAGGGATACGTTTTATTTCTCCCCTTTGTGACCCTGAGGCCCCCCGGTGAAGTTCAAAAACTTTCCCTACTGGCCCCGTGGGCGCGGCTGGGCGGTCATGTGACCGGATGGGTGTGGCTACACAACTGACTCACACACAATGTAAAAGCAGCTGGACTTCACACAAAATGTCCCCTGCAACAAGCNCAGCTCCCCCATCCTTCAGAGTCATTGAAAGATGCAAACATGGGAGGAATAGGTGTGCATTTTCACTTTTTCCATCTCAACTTAGTTGTGCTCTTGATTTATTTATTTTTTAACACACAAAGAACCGTCAATATTGTAAGCTCTCTTCTCGGAGAGCAATTTTTGTTTATTGATAATTTTGGTTCCCTTGTTCTAATCCTACAATATCAATTGAGGGAATATGGATATGGAGACAGTTTGGTCTGGTGGTTAAGGCAAGAGGCTATGAGTCCAAGTCCTCCCTTAGCCATGAAGGCCGGCTGGGTGATTTTGGGCCAACCATCAGGAGACTGGGAGTTCTAGTCCTGCCTTAGGCATGAAATCTCACTAGGTGATTTGGGGCCAATCACTAGGAAACTGGGAGTTCTAGTCCTCCCTTAACCATGAATGCCAGCTGGGTGATTTTGGGCCAACCACCAGGAGACTGGGAGTTCTAGTCCTGCCTTAGGCATGAAATTCCACAAGGTGATTTGGGGTCAATCACCAGGAGACTGTGAGTTCTAGTCCTGACTTAGGCATGAAAGTCGGCTGAGTGACTTTGGTCCAATCTCCAAGAGGTGGTGAGTTCTAGTTCCACTTTAGTCATGAAAGCCAGTTTGGTGACTTTGGGTTAGTCCCTTTCTCTCAGCTCAACCCAACCTCACAGGGTTGTTGTGTTGGGGAAAAGAGGAGGAGGAAAATGTATGTTCACCCCCTTGAGGTATTTGTAAAAAGAATAAAGGCAGGATAAAAATAAATAAATATGGATGAACAAGTCACTGTTTTTGTTTTTAATCTCATTCTTATATTTTGTTTTTAACTTTCTTCCAAGCTAAGATGTTTTTAATTTTTAAACATTTCTTCAAGGACAAGAATTTTTTTTAAAAAAACTTAGCACCAAAGGTTGTGCCCTAGGTGCATTTCTCCCATTAGACCAACTTGCGAACAGAAAAAGTACAATTTCAATGTTTTGTTTTTTTGCAAAGAAGTCCTTACACGGTGCATTTTTTGGGGGTACAGAGTTTCCAGAACTCACGGCTTTGCTAGTGAACCCGTTTACAAAATTGAAGTGATAACTGTTAATTTGAAACATGGATTTAGCTTGATATCAAGATCTATTGTAAGCAGAGCTCTCCCCTTGTTTAGCCACGAGCGGTGCGGTTGCCACCCATGTAGCAAATGATGTTTCTGGCTGAAAACAATAAAGACGGTTTCCATAATGCTTAAACCGTAGTGGGAATAAATTGCTTTTTTTAATTAAAAAAAGTTTCATTTTCTGCCACTTAAATATAACTGTTGGGAGGACCCAGGAAGAGGCATTAATAGACCACAGAACCAGAAGCTGTTACTACTTTTTGACTGAAGAGTGCGAAGTGGGGAAAGTAATTTGTGGAGATCCACTTGAAAATCATCCAGCGTAACTTCATAATCACAATTATCTGTTAGAAGATTTAGTTCAATTACTTTATCTGTCTGTTTTTTTTTAAAAAAAACCTCACTTTCCCCTCTTGTCAAGGTGGCCCCACTTGAGCTGGGATTTGAATCTTCAAAAAAAAAAAAAAAAGGTTAAGAAACTCTTCCTGGCATATTAATGTCTTCATTATCTCTTGTTGAATAGCTTTCGTGACATGCTATTCCGTCCCCTTCTTTCCCTTTGCTCTCTTGGCACTAAAGTCGAGTTTGACTTCTGAAGACTTTATGGAGGCATCGTGTGGTTTCCTAACCTGGCACTGATGATGTTATCTAGTTGGGTCATGAAACGGCTGCAAGAAAACCACCAAGCTCAGAGAGCACCAAGGACCTCCCAGCCTCCCCCCCCCCCCTCCCCTTCCCCCCCCCCCCACTGATGGTGTTACCTACCTGGGTCATGAAACCACCCAGCTCAGAGAGCACCAAGGACCTCACAGTCCCCCCCCCCCCCTTCCTCTTCCCCCCCCCCCACTGATGGTGTTACCTACCTGGGTCATGAAACCACCCAGCTCAGAGAGCACCAAGGACCTCACAGTCCCCCCCCCCCCCTTCCTCTT